CTGGGGCTGGGCCGCCTGTCTCTGACTGCAGGTACATGTTGCATTGGCAGGGCACGCTGAAGCTGGCAGACTGGCCGCTGCAGAAGGGCTCCGTGGAGCTCCTGAAGCAGAGATGGGAGTCCACCAATGCTACCAGACCTGGCCCGACGCTCCACTGCTCGCCAGCCCCACGGTCCCTGGTGCCAGATAAGATCAGCTGTAGCAGCGCCATGGAGAAAGTGCCAGCAGACAGAATGAGGGCAGATGTGCTCAATGAGGAGAGCCTAGGTGGCCCTCAGCAGATTGAGCACTTCCCCATCACTGTGGAGCAGCTGCGGACCCACTTCGAGGCCCTGGGTGGCAAGAAGGTAAGTGCTTGGGCCAGGTGGACACCTCAAGGGAATAGGGATGGGCCCCAGGGCGGTTTCCCCAGCCTCACACCACCCCTCCCCTGTGCCCTGCCAGGGATAGGCGGCACCGGCCACAGCTCCTGTGGATATCCTGTGGACAATTTGGATCAGTGTGTTAGCACTAAGTGTTCTATAGCTCTCCTTACTCCATAATGTTATTGGTCTGCATCATTTTAATGGTTGCTGACTGGCACTGTCTGCCAACCTCTCAGGTAAGTTAGTGTGCAATTGTGCTTGGCCAGTGCTTTTTGCAGGGGAAGAAAATAAAGATATGGCCTGAGAGAAGAATTCCCAAATGAAACTACTTACAAACACTTTAAAACTTTCTGAAACAAATGGTTCTTATTTGTAGAAAAGTACTGACTTCATTTCAACTGAGAATCCTGCTGTCACTTCACCCATCAGCTTTCACTGGCATAACATGACAGGCCTGGCCAAATTGCAACCTTTATTTGTCATCAGATTTTTGTCTGTGATTTCTTTGAACTATCTGGGGAGAAGTTAGGCTTTTCTGAAGCTTAAAAAAAATGCTTCAGAGAAGTATAGGATACTGAAAAGGTTATTAGTGATCTTAATTAGGGCAACTTTGTTTGGTTTTGTGGCTAAGTAGTCTTTCACCATGTTTTACCTCTTCAGCATGAAAACTAAAATGTCCCTGCAGGTTTTGTTTGCTGATGGAATGTTTAATATCCTCCACATTGTAATACTTCATTTCTTGTGCAGTTATCAGGTTAAAAAAACCCCACAACATAAATAAAAAATCCCCTTTGAATAGTTTTAACCCCACTTTTCAATCAAAAATATACTAAAATTTGATGTCACAACTCTGTGTTCTACCACCTTCTAACTGCTGCAGGATAACCCTGCCAGTCCATTTAGTCAGTCATTTGGCCATTTAATTTAATGCCCAGAGTGATTTAAACATGGTTTTCTGGTACCAAAACTAGAATAATGCATGCTGATTATGATATAATTCATACGCAAAATTCTGCTATTAAAAGATATTAGAAAGCTTTTTTATGTGAACAGTAAAATAAAAATTCATGTGATTCATGAAAAATCTTTTCATTGGCTTTTGACACATATCACAAGAAGTAGCAGGTACCAATAAAATGAAGGTTAAAACTTTATGGGATTATTGAACACTAAAGACCACATAAAATAGTCATAGACTGCTGCTAAGTGGCATATTCAAACGATTTTAAGCTGGAGACTTTTTGGTTGATCTTAGTCATTTTTAATAATAGCAAAATAAACCTTTTTCCCTATAAAGCAGTACATTCAGTATTGTAGACATGATCATTATTGTTGGAGCAAATTTGTTCTTTTTTAATCTTATTGATACAAAGAGCTCCTTATTGAGTGAGAAATGATAATTTTTTTGATTTAAACAGCATTCTTCATTGAACAGGTTTATTATTTAAACAATAACTACCAAGAAAGTAAAAGAACTCTTTACTCCCAGTCCCAGAACTGTTACACCAATTAAATATTATTTTGCTAGGGTTTCTTAGAAAATTTGCTACTGCCCCACCTGCAAATGCTTTGAATTAACATGCATCTTAGGATCCGACCATTACTACTATTATTGTTTTACTGATACACTTTTAAAAAATTCTTTCCAAGTATATACTTTTTGCTAAGTGTTCCTCCAAGTGAAAATTTATCATTTCTGATAATAAAGGGAAGCAAAGGCTCAGAAAAAGGAGTGGGGGGTGTGAGAAAAAGTGTCAAGAAAGTGTTACGTTCCTCTTATTATTTGTTTGCAAAGAGTGCTGCATGCAGAACGTATTTGAGTACAGCTCTAGTTAAAATTGATTTTTTTCTCTAGCCAGTCAGAAGTGAAAAAAAAGAGGTGTACACTCTACGGAGCATGCCTTGCTAAGCCACTGAAACTCATGCAGGAATTGCAACTGTTAAGATTAGCATCTTGCAAAGAATATTGAAAAGCAGATGATGCTTATAAAGTGGGAAGTGTCAAGGGGTGGAAAAGCATGAGGAACAGGCCCTTTTTTCAGAATTCAAGTGGAAAAGCTTGAACTCTGTTATCCTGTTCAGGTAGCTGTCTTAGGAAATAAGATTTACATGCCTTTGAGGATTTATTTCAACAGCATTGTAAAACATCTTGAGATTTCCAAAATACGATCAATATGAAATGTAGAAAAATGGAATCTGCATTATAGAAGACTTTCACAATTTAAGCATTACTTCAACATTTTCACTTAAAAAGAAAAATTTGAAAGTGGCTGTACAACAAATGTAGGCATTCATTCCAAGGGTTTCTGATGCTGAAGAAGGATGGATGCTTAAACTCAGGTCAAGCACTTGGCAACACAAACCAGAAGCAGGACTGACAGGTTTCAAAAAAATGTGTGAACTCCATAGGCATAGGAGTTCTGCAAAAGGATAGACTATTTCAGTGACATGAAGCTGGAGCTAAACTGACACTGGTGCTAACAATGGCATCAACATCCATGTTCAAGATCTGATGGCACAAATAATATGTAGAAATTACTGGTTCCTCCACTGGTAACAGTGAAAAAGCATGAAATAAATAAAATCATGTGAGATAAATATGATCCAAAGCAATTGCAGGCTTTGCATGTATAAAGCCTGGACTTCGTATCATATTTTAAATTAATATACTGAAGGTATTTTAAGGTGCATATTAAGCATTTGATGTGTATCTGGTTAATGATATGGATGTTAGAGATGACAAAGGCATTTATTAATATTAATGAAAGTTAAGTATTTTAGTAGTTAAATATTACACCATGAGACAAGATTCTTGTAATGAAAAACAACAATTTGGTATGCCTTCAGAAGACACATTTTGACTATAGTTCTATCAAGTTATCGTTGACACAAGAAAATACTTGTATCACAACATAATGCAAGGCTATGCAAAGGTTTCAGCAAACTGTTTGCTTAAGATTCAGTCTCTTTCAGCCATAGTACATTTCCATGGGCAGGAGGAGTGAAGGATATGGAATGAGCCGATGCATTTGCCTTGCATTTTTTGTAGTGGTTTCACCCAGAAGTGATAGAGAACAAAGTTAGAAATGGCTATATGTAAAGCTAAGTCAAAGCCACAGAAATCACTGTGGAATTTTAAAAATTTAAACAAAATGTCTTTTAAGACTCAGTGCCAGCTAACTATATTACAGTTACCTTATGCATAAATGAATGTGCTCATTAGTCTTGTGCTCAGAAAAAGACTGCCAAGAGTTGTAACCCTGCCTAAATGGACTGTCTCTTGACTAATCAGACTTTCAAGACCAGGGCCCGTCTTATCACATTATTCCATAAGGAAAAAATAGATTTTATTCTAAGAAGGCAAAATACCACTGATTAAAAAAATCTAAAACCTCTCATTCAGGTTGCATTTCCATTGCAGTGCTGTTATTTGTATGTGTAGAAAATCAACAGAGAAAAATCAGGGCAATTAAATAATATTAAATCATGAAGTGACTTCTAAACAATTAGATCAATCATATAAAAAAGCCTCTGCTTGTTCAAAAGACATTATTATAGGCAGCTGAAAATATATTTAGACTTTTGGCATATTTTTCTTCCTGGTGGCTACATGATGAACTATGCCCAATCCTAAGTATTTGAATGGCATTAACACTTCATATTGCAATAAGAAAATACGAAAAAGAGTGAACAGTCATGGACTGAGTTTAATAATTTTAAAGCTAAATCACTTGGTGAAGTCAAATTACTTTTGCCTGAGTTTATCCAAGTAGAACTTGGATGTATTTCCTTCTTAGGTGTATTAATAAAGTTAATTATTATATTGCTGGAGTCTTTTAATGAAAGCCTATATTACCAGGCATCTCCATATCTTTCCATTATTTCAAAATAAACTGATGTCCCATTCTGATAAAATGAAAAGTATTTTCCACTTTCCTATAGGAAAAAAATGTTTCTTAAGAAGTAATAATATATTAAAACATCAATTTACTGTATAGACTTATCACTCCCATGAAACAACTACCTGAGTTTATTAGCACTCAAAAGCATTGGAATGTTAAAGCAACTAAGGCCTGTGTTTGCGGGAAGTGATTATGTGTGTTTTTCTTGAAAGATGTTAAAGCATCCCAACTGAGAAAGTAATTTCATGCTTACCTTTTAGAGAAACCTATTCAAAGAACTCATTAAAACCGTGCATTTAAATAATCTGGTATATGTTCATTAAACTGCGTCCTTTGCAGAAAACATATGAACTGCTGCCAGAAAGTAAATAAAGGGAACAGATGTTTAATGTAAAAGGTTAGATGTCCATTAAAAGTGTTTAAACAAGCAGCATCTTTTTTCCCTCAACACTCCAAGAAACGTTTATATTAATTTAGCAAAGCCATGTAATACAAAAAAGAATGGAAACCCCATAACAACTGTAGGTCAGTTCTGTACCCTGTTAGCACTCGTATCATTTGTATTTTTGTTATGGATGAATGAAAGTGAGTAGTGAGGATTGCATGGGATGGCCAAACAATTACCCTTGCTGAAAAGCTTGATATTGAATGGAGTGCTTTATGGTCAGCCTTCTGGATTTTGGCTTCATCTCTTTCTTGGCTCATTCTTTTTGTGACACAATGCATTCCTCGCCTTAGTTTTTATGAACTTTTTTCTAATGGAAAAAGATTCCACAAGGGAAGGCCACATTGCCTATGGGACTTGAATTGCAGAACAAGTTTTGGTAAAAATCCATGTTCTTTTTTCTCCTTAAAAGAAAACTTTTCTTCTGTGCTTTTACTTTCTCAGTAAATATACTGCCGCTTTACAGGTACCTCACAAATCACCTGAAGAAACAATCCTCATCCCACACTGGTTATTCTTATTAACTCATCTCTGAGCTGGACTGCACTTCCAAAATACATTTTGGGAGATGTATTAAATTTTTGCCTTTCTAGAAATTGGACATGTTAACAGAGTTCTCACTATCTCTACCAAGT